AGTTTTCAACATATAAAAGGGTGCTTAGGGCCAGGGAGATAGCTCAGTGGAATAAGCGCTTCCCTGGCAAGCACAAGGGCCTGAGTTCAATCCCCGGTTCTCCCCGGTTCAAAAAAAAAAAAAAAAAAGGTGCTTAAACTCACAATGGAGATACTGAGTATAATATAAATTTTCATCTATGAAATGGACCAAGGTTCATTGGGCGTGAATGTGATGCTGTGATTAAAAGACACATAGGACATTGCCTCTACAGGGCAAATTAGCAGTGTCTGTCCAGATTACAAATACATATGCCCTTGATCTAATTATTATTTCTAGTTGTTTGTCTCTGGCGTACTTAGGAAATAAATGTCTATTGCAGCATTGTTTATGATAGTGAATGGTGAGAAACTATCTGAATGTTTATCAGAGAGGATTGATTAGATGAATTATAGGTATACAGTAGAACACCATGCAGGTATAAAAAAAGAAAAAGAAGCAACCATTTATTTATAATGTAACATCAAAATACATTAAGTAATAAAAGACATTATTGAGTAGTAGGACATATAGAGTAGTAGGACAGTGTGTATAATAAGGACTTTGCAGTAGATAAAGAATACCTAGATAAATAGGACATTTTTTGTGTGTGCATGTAATCTTTGTGCATGCATATAATCTGTTTAATGCAGGCTTAGGTTGGGATTTCTCTACCTCTGATTCACTGGGGTGCCCTCAAGGAAGGAAGGAGGGAGCAGGAGAGAGCATGGGCAGAAGCTGGGCCAAGAGGTGGTTTAAGAGCTATAATGGCAATGCAAATGTGATAGAGGTGGGGGCCTGGGGCTTTTATGCCTCTGTCCAAACCCTTCATTGACTGTGGGGAGGGAGAGCAGCAATTCTGTTCAGAAAGTAGCAGTCATGGATCTATAGTGGTCAGTGACCAAGTAGCTGATGGCCTGGTAAAGGGACTTGGACAGTGATACTAAAAGTATCTGCTACTGATTCTCCAGAAAGATTGATAAGAAGCCAATAATATCAGTTACATCTTGTAAGGGAATTGGCTGGCTGGAGGACAGCAATGGTAGGGAGACTGTTCACAGTATATATATACCCTTTATGCCCACTAAATTTGAGCTTGATACCCATATGGCTTTAGGACCAAGTTTATTTTCTGTGGTTTCAGAATACAAAATAACTGGAAGACTAAAACTCTTCTTACTTAAGAAGTCCCAGTTCTCACAATTAATGTGGAGAGAGAGGGTAGAAAGGAAGGGCCCAGAGGCTAGACCTTATTTATTTATTTATTTATTTATTGTGGAAACGGGGATTGAATTCAGGCCCTTGTGCTTGCCAGGCAAGTGCTTATTCTACTGAGCTATCTCCCCGGCACCCCCTAATTTATTTTAGGAGAAAATGGCTGAAAGTTCTGGAGCTGGGCTTAATTTGCCCCTTCCCCTTATGGCCCCCCTACCTCCTCCCCCCACACACCCCTTCCCCCACACCTTTTTATTTCTTCTCATAAACCTGGGGTTAAAGCAGTATAGCTGGGTTAGAATGCATTAAGTTAGCCTGGACAAGGGCTTGACACAGTCACATTTCTTGACTTATTAAAGAAAAAAATTATTTGTTCAGGTTGCTAAGATCCTGTGATAAGAACAAATAGTCTATCCATGAAATTGTGGAAAAAGGAAAAGAAACTTACATTAGTTTACTTTTGTACCCCAAACTACAAAAGACGTAGTGACAGAGAATGATAAGTATTTAGTAAAGGTGGAAAGGCAATAAATTTGTATATATGGGGGGAAAAATATGGAGAGTTTGGTACTGTGTGGTTTTAGGCATCCACTGAAGAGAAGAAAGAACTCCACAGAGAGGGATTCCTAGGTAAGTCTATAGAAGTCCATATGACTCATGTGACATTTCCATTACCTTCCTGATGGTGAGGAGGTGGGTTATAAGGAGCATTAGGGTTCCTAGGCTTAATTCTCAGCTCTGTCAATTACTTTTTGGGTACTCTGGGGCAAGTTAATAACTCTTTGATCAGCTCTTTCCTCATCTGTAAATTGGAGGTGATGGTGATGCAAAGGTTAAATGAAAGGTTAAAGTACTGGCATATGTGTATTTTCATCATTGTCTTAAGTTTTACTCTTTTTGTTGTGCCTAGCAACTGTTTGTCATGTTTTTGTGAAGAAAAGATAAAAACTCAGTTGGCATATCCAAGGTAAATAAGGTTAAAGTACTGGCACATGTTCTAACTAACTCTACCTAACAGCCATGTCCCCCAAACAGCTGTTGGTTGTGATCCTGTCTTCTGCTTTTTACCTCTTTTGGGCTAGTTTTTGCACATCTTCCAGGCCAGCCTACCTGTTTACTGCAGCTATTAAATACATATCAGCTACTTAATACTTGTGGTATTATTGCCTTTGTCACTCTGTGCCAGTTCCTTCAGAAGGCGTGGAGGGAAGGTTTTGAAGAATCATGATTTGGAAGAGTATTTTGAAGCCAGGCAAGCAGTATTCTTCTAGTAGCCATAGCAGGAGAATGGGTTCTAACTAATAAGGAAAAGGGTAGTAACATTGCATCCAATAGCACCAGTAGGGGACAAGACTTAGGTAAGAGGGGGCAGTAGTGGCAAGTTGAGCTTCAAGGTGGGCCAGGGTAACCAGTTTCTGATATGGATCATTTGGAGTCAGGACTGACATCCCTGCTTGTAGAGCTATCCCATTGCCCATGTGAAGAAATGGCCTAGTATAGTTTCTTCCTGGCCTAGTATAGTTCTTTTTACATTTTTCCTCTGTCTCTTCATGTTGTCTCCTCTTTGCTACCTCTGTCACCTCTGCCTACTTTGCTACTTTCTGTCTTCTCGTTGTTATCTTCTTACAAGTTGCATATCTTGTCAACTTCTTTCCCTTTGTTTTTTGAAGTTCTCTTATCCTTCATTCTAATTTCTACTGTCTCTTTTTTTGTTCCTTTTTTTTTTTTCATAATGGGCTTAGCTTGCTGTCTCCAGACAGCAAGAATGTTGACAGTCTCAACAGTTGCAGTATCTGTAGCTAAACAGGGTACTCTACCCACCCCATGCACACAGACTTTTTTTTTTTTTTTTTTTTAATTTCATGTTCAGAGTCATTAAGCTTGGTTTTAAGTGTGAACTCCAGGTAAGTGAGGCACTCTTCAGAGGTTGGTGGCAGTAGGTTTTTATATTATAGATCCATCTCCTGCTGCTCACTGGAGATGAGGTCTTGTTCATATATTCTCCTTTGCCAGTGACCTTTGTGCTATAGTCATCATTTTTAAAGGTGAAATCATACAGCATGTTTTAGATTACTAGACTAAGGGAGCAGCCTCCTCTTGCCCTCAGTAGCTGTTTTCATGAAAGTCGTCAGTATCATTGTACATTCAAAACTACTGGCTTCAGTGTGATCTTCCTTTTTCTTTTTTTTTTCTTTGTGGTATTGGCGATTAAATCCAGGGCCTCACATATGCAAGGCAAAAACTACCGTTGAACTACAGATACACTCCTTTTTTATTTTACTTTGATACAGGGTCTCAGTAAGTTGCCTGTATCTTTAAACTTGTAATTCTCCTGTGTCAGTCTCCCAGGTGACTGAGGTTACAGGTGTGCACCATCATGTCTGGCTGAATACTTCATATTATGTGCTCAGATACTCATTTGGTGGTAATTTTTGTCTTGCTAGAAGTTTCTTTGTCAATATTATATTTTTAGATAAAACTGGGCTGAATAGATACATACAACTGTTCCTTTTTCGTTTTTTAGGACTGAAAGTCAGACTGCAGTTTCAGGAAACAAAGCTAAGAAGCTTACATTACCTCTTTTTGGTGCCATGAAAGGTGGAAGCAAATTCAAATTAAAAACTGGAACAGTAGGGGTAAGTTGTAAGTCAGGGTGTTAAACTTACAGTTCTTCAAATATCCCTTAGCTCGTTTTTCTTTCTTTTGAAAGTGAGAATGAAGCTGGCTGTGGTGGTGCAAACCTATAATTCCAGCACTTGGAAGTTTGAGGCAGGCGAATTGTTGAGAGTTCCACCAGCTTGGCTAGTGTGTGAGCTCAAGGCCAGCCTGAAATATACCATAGTGAGACCCTATATCAAAAATATTAAAAAGAAAAAAAAGAAAAGAAAAGAAAAAAGGAAATCACTCAATCTGCATTGGAAGTTTGTGGGTTGGTATGGTCATATCTAAGAATTCGGTTGTTGGGATTTTCTGTTCAGGTTAGGGTTACCAAGAACTGGCAGACAGGTCATGCCAGTCATTTTGCAAGTAATGCTTTGTAAAGTAGAATCCTAATAAATTTTAATAGATGCTGAATTTAAGAGTGTACCTCCTACATTAAATGCTTTTCTTAAATTAATTTTATTGAGAAACAAATAGCAATGAGACAGTTTCAAAACTGATTAGTAGGACAGTTTCAATAATTAATACATTGCATATTGTCTTTGTAGTGAATTAAATGCTTTTGACTTGGTGGATAGACATGATATTCAGACTCAGCGAACATCTTAGTACCAGTGCATACACTTGCCTCTGCCATCTATTTTTTCATACTTGATTTAATTATTCCAACACTATAAGATGTGGAAATTACTGTGTCTTACGGATGAGAACAGTAGATCATCTCATCATTATGCAGCTACACCGGCAATCAGATCAGGTCTTGTTAAGTTTTATGATTTCTCCTTCTGTATAGTAAAGCACTGATGTGCTTTTTGTTGTTGTTGTTTTTGCTTCATATACATTCCTATTCAAAGATTTTGCTTTTTAAAGATTTTCTTCACTACAAAGAGCTAGACCTTGTGAATTGGTTTGCTGGGGCTACTAAAACAAAGTACTGTAGATTTGGGGGCTTAAACCACAGGAGTTTTGGGGGTTTTTTTACAGTTCTAAATGCTGCAAGTCTAAGATCAGAGTTCTGGCAGAGCTGGTTTCTTCCAAGTGAAAGATGGCTACCCCTTGCTGCCCTTGCCTGTGATTGTCTGGTGTCTTCTAATGATACTGGTCAAGTTAGCTTAAGAGCCTGCTTTGCATGCCTCACTTCAACTTAGTTTAAAGTCCTTGTCTCCAGAGAGAGTCACATTGTCAAAAATGGAGATTGGGCCTAGAATATATGGGTCAGTGGAGCGGCACGGTTGCACAGTTACGATCACAGTACTTTGAAGTAGGATTCACTGCTCTGTGGTGGCACAGATCGGAAGCCCCAGCTCTGTACTCTGGATGCACTGTGTGGCTTGACTAAGACAAAGGCTGTCTGGGAAAGGGCATTTATGTCTTTACTTGTTTCTTTTTTCTCCTACTATTTTTGTTATTCTTGTTTTTTGAGATAGTCTCACTGTGTGATCCAGGCTGGCCTTTAACTTGCTGTGTAGTCCTAGCTGGCCTCAAACTCAAGATCCTCTTGCCTCAATCTCAGTGCTGGGATTATAGGTTTGAGGAAACACATCCAGCTACTTACGTTTTAAATAAAAGAAAAGTACTTTTCTGAAACATTTTTCTTAGAGGATTACTAAGCTAAATCTTATAATTAAAAAATAATGCCACCAAGGTCTGTTTTGATATCTTTTCCATTCCATAAGCATGATCAACTTTTTATTTTATTACTGTTATTTTTTTGGTGCTAGGAATTGAACTCATGACCTCACACTTGCCAGGCAGCCACTGAGTTATATTCCCGCCCCTAACTTTTTCTAAGAACTTTTTTTAGGGGAGGAGAAGTTTGATAAAGGTTTAAAAAAATTTATTAACACATATTTGCAGAACATAATGATTATATTTGTGGTTAGGAGTTGGTGTCTGTACATAACACTTTTTGATTATTTTTTTATCCCTTTCCCCTCCCTTTTATCTTCCCTCTCTCCATCTCTTTGTCTCCTCCCATTTTTGCAAAAGATCTGTCTCCCTGTTCCCTATTACCTATCTTTTATTTTGCTCTTTATTTTATTTTATTTTATTTTATTTTACTTTGGGTTTCTCATATAATAGAAAGCATATGGTATTTAAGCTTGTGTGTCTGATTTCATTTAATATTATGGTCGGCAGGTGCATCCATTTTCCTACAAATGAGTCAAATTTATCCTTTATGGCATAGTACTGCACTGCTTATAAATGGCACATTGTCGTTTTCCACGTATCTGTTGATGTATATATAGGTTGATTCCAAGAGTCAGCTATTATGAAGTGTGCTGCTGTAAACATGAGTATGCATGTATCACTGTATTATGACTTTTAACTCTTACAAAGATACCTAGAGGGCCGGAGAGATAGCTCAGCAGTATAAGTACCTGCCTGACAAGTGCAAGGTACTGAGTTTGATCCCCAGTACCACAAAAAAAAAAAAAAAAAAGTTAGCATGCACTGTATGGGCTGGGGAGATGGCTCAGTTGAATAAGTGCTTGCCTGGCAGGCACAAGGGCCTAAGTTCAATCCCCAGCTCCACAAAAAAAAAAAAAGAAGAAGAAGAAGATACCTAGAAGGTGTCTTAGTTACTTTTCTCTCATTGCTGAGACAAAATACCTGACACCCAGAATTAAGGAAGGAGATTTATTTTTAGCTCACATTTTGTGGAACTTTCAGTCCATACTCGGCTGGCTCCCAGGCAGGGTGGCATGGCACGGGAGCAACGGTTCAAGACAGTAGAAGACAGCAAAAGAAACAAGAGCAAAAAGAGTGAGGAGAATAAGCCTCTTTTCCTCCCTTATATTATAAGCAGGCTAATCATATTCCCCCCCCCCCCCCAGGCTGGGTGTAGCACTCACACAATCTCCATGCCCTCCTCTGGCACAGAATGAGGATGTTTACAAAGTAAAGACCCTGGATCCCTGCTGAGTGGCTTAATTAACCTTCTAAATGGCTCATGTGGCACAGTGTATCAACCATACAGAAGGGGAGTAGCTCATTGAGTAGAATTTCTATTGTTAGTTTTTTGAGACCTCTGCTTACTGATTTTCATTGTGAGTGTACTAATTTACAATCACCAAACAACGTAGAAGAGTTCCTTTTTTCCCACCAACTTGCCAACATTTCTTATTATTTGGTTTCTTCATGGCAGACATTCTTTCTAGAGTCAGATGGGAATCCCAGTACTTTTTTTTACTATTTTTTTATTACTGTGTTTGCTGTACATAATGATTACCTTTATTGTGGGGAGTTGATACATGTGCAAAACACATCTTAATGCTGTTTTCATCTCCAGCTCCTCCCATGCCTCTCTGCTTTTTCCAGTTCTTGTTCCCCATCCCATTTGCAAAAGCTCTTGTTTCCGTTTTCTTTCTTCACTTCTTTTTTTCATGCCCTTTCCCTCCTGTCCCTCCCCATTGCTTTACTTCTTGTTTCCCCTCCCATTTGAAAAGGCCTCTATTTCCTATTATCTCTTTTTTATTGTTTGTTATTTATTTATATTAATGTATTTTGAATTTTCCATATAAGAGAAGCTATACATATATAAGCTTGTGTGTCTGATTTATTTCACTGAAGGTGCATCCGCTTACCTACAAATGCTTCATTAATCTTTCTTTATGGCAGAGTAGTACTCCATTATGTATAAATATCACTTATTAGTTCTCTATCCAAAAAGTAGCTTGCAAAATATTTTTCCCACCCTATAGGTTGTCTCTTTATTGATTGTTTCCTTTGCTGTGCCAAGCCTTTTAATTTGGTGTGATCCTGTTTGTTCGTTCTCAGTATTATTTCTTGTGGCATTGAGATTCTGTTCAAAAAGTCCTTACTTGTTGCCTATCTTTAAGGATTTTACTACTGGGTGTGATAGTACATGCCTGTAATCCCAGAACTTGGGAGACTGAAGCAGAAAGACTGCTGTGAGATCAAGGCCAGGCTGGGCTACATAGTGAGATTCTGTCTCCAAAAAAGATTTTTACCTATTTTATCTTTCAGCAAACTTTTTTTTTTTTTTTTTTTTTTTTTTTTTAACATTTAGACCTTTGACCCATTTTGATTCATTTAGTACATGTATATTTCTAGACTTAATCTTCTGCATGTATAATTTCTCAAGCACTATTAAAGAGTCTGTCTTAATCCAGTGTATGTGTCTGAATCCTCAAATGTGCCTGGGGTTAATTCTGCTTTTTGTATTCTGTTCCATTGATTCACGTATTTGTTTTGGTGTCAGTGTTATGCTTTTTTATTTTTTTGAAATCACTATAGCTTTCTAATATATCTTGAAACCTAGAATTGTAATGCCTCCTGCTTTGCTCTTGTTACCTAGGATTGCTTTTGCCATTCTGGGCCCTTTCTGATTCTGTATGAATTTTAAGATTGTTTTCTGTAGATCTGTGAAGAATGCTATTGCTGTTTTGACAGGGATTGTATCAAATCTATATCAGTTTTGGAAATATAACTATTTGACTATATTGGTCTATCTGGGAACATGGGATATCTGTTTTCTTCTGTTATCTTCCATCTCCTGTTTTAGATATATTTTCATTATAGAGGTCTTTCACCTCCTTGGTTAAGCTATTCCTAAGTATTTAATTTTTCTTGAAGCTATTGTGAATGTTTGGTTTTTTTTTTTCCTAATTTTTTTCTCAGTGTGTTCATTATTGGTATATAGGAATGCTGTTGATTTTGTATACTGCTACTTTGCTGAATTTGGTTACTAACTCTGGGAGTCTTTTTGTGGCATGTTTTTGGGTCTTTGTAGAGGATTATGTCATTTGCAGATAACAATACTTTGGCTTTTCCTTTCCTACACTTACCTTTTTTGTTTATTTTGCTTGATGACTTTGGCTAATATTTTGAGGGCTGTATTACATAGGAATGGGGATAGTGGATATCCTTGTTTCTCATTTTAGAGGGAATACTTTCATCTTTTCTCCATGGAATACAGCATTAGCAATAGGTTTGTCATAATGGCTTTTAT